CCCCGTAGAGCCCGTCCTCCACCAGCTTGATGTGGAAGCGGAACTTGAGGAGGGCGGCGAGCTCGCGCAGCATGTCCACGCAGAAACCCTCGTAGCGCTCGGGGCCCCCCGCGCCCCCCACCCGCATCACGTACGGGTTCTCCTGCCGGGGCGGCACCGCCGGGGCTCAGGGCGGGGGCGAGGGGGGAGAGACCCCACGGGGAGACCGAGGGGAGCCCAAGGGAGAATCCAAGGGAGATCCCAATGGAGATCCCAATGGAGATCCCACGGGGAGCCCAAAGGGAGATCCCAATGGAGACCCCACGGGGAGAGCGAGGGGAGCCCAAAGGGAGAACCCAATGGAGATCCCAATGGAGGAATCCAAGGGGAGAACCCAAGGGGAGAACCCAACGGAGATCCCAATGGAGACCCCAAAGGGAGAATCCAATGGAGATCCCAATGGAGATCCCAAAGGGAGACCAAAGGAGAGCCCAAGGGAGAGCCCAAAGGGAGATCCCAAAGGGAGAACCCAACAGAGATCCCAATGGAGATCCCAATGGAGACCCCACGGGGAGACCGAGGGGAGCTGACGGAGAGCCCGAGGGACAATCCAAGGGAGATCCCAAAGGGAGATCCCAAAGGGAGACCAAAGGAGAACCCAAAGGGAGATCCCAATGGAGATCCCAATGGAGACCCCACGGGGAGAGCGAGGGGAGCCCAAAGGGAGATCCCAATGGAGATCCCAAGGGGAGAACCCAACGGAGATCCCAATGGAGACCCCAAAGGGAGAATCCAAGGGGAGACCAAAGGGAGCCAACGGAGATCCCAATGGAGACCCCAAAGGGAGAATCCAACGGAGAGCCCAAGGGGAACCCAATGGAGACCCCACGGGGAGACCGAGGGGAGCCGACGGAGAGCCCAAAGGGAGAACCCAAAGGGAGAATCCAAGGGGAACCCAAAGGGAGAATCCAAGGGGAACCCAATGGGGACCCCAAACGGAGATCCCGAGGGAGATCCCAAATGGAGACCCCAGATGGATCCAATGGAGATCCCAATGGAGAACCCAAAGGGAGAATCCAAGGAGAACCCAATGGAGACCCCCATGGAGACCCCAAATTGAGACTCAAATGGAAACCAGTACCCCCAGTCCCTCCCAGTCCCCTCCCGTCCCCTCCCAGTCCCCCCCAGTCCCCTCCCAGTCCCCCCCAGTGCCCCCAGTGCCCACCAGGATGGTGGTGATGATGAGGGTCTTGTTGGCCAGGCTGTCCGAGGCGTTGAGCGCCAACGTCGCCGCGTCCATCGCCAGCGTCCGGTTGGAGAACCACACCCCCACCTGCCGGAGGGGGCGGGGCCGGGGCG